CAGTTGTTAGTTGACATTCCACACACAGCTCCAGGGCTCAGGAGCTGTTGGTACCTGTTGTGAGGTGCTGACGTGAGTTCAGCGTAAAGAAACCATCATCTTTCCCTTTCTTCATCTTAGGAGAAGTTATTTCGGCTTCTGCTGAAGCCACCCTGGCAGATCTGCTGTGAGGCATCTCCTGCTTCCTGAGCACGTGCCCTGCTGTGCCCAGGGGTGCCATCGAGGCTGCTGTGGCTTCGCTCCTCACCACCATCAGTGGTAAGTCCATAACCTTAGAGAGCCCAACGGGTGCTGTAGTTCTTGCCCTCTGCTCATGGGTGGTGGGTGCCACTGGCAGGGACACCTCTGGTGCTGTTGCCCCAGAGCTGGACCAAGGACTGATACCTGGGTTTTGCCTTGTTCTTTCACCCGTGTGTGCATGAGGAGAAGTGGGAACTCACCCCAGGTTTCTGGCACGATCAGGACTGTCAGTGAGCTCCGAGATGCCAAGTTCCTAGTGCAAGCCAGGCAGTAGACATGAAATGCCACCAGGACGTGGTCCATCACCTCTTTTAACCCAAGAGCCCTCTCCCTTCCCTACCAGCAGCTTGGCAGCGGTTTGGGCAGTGTATTTGGGAGCTCAGGGTGTTTCTCAGGCAGCACAGAGAGCACTCGGGTAGGAGCCGGCAGGACCCAAACCGTCCCCTCTGTGCTCTTTACATCTGAGTTATGCAAATCACACGAGGGAAGGAGCGTGCGCTGCTCGCTGGGCCCTCGCGGTGTCTGCAGGAAGCAGATTGGGCTCCAGCAGCCGCCTTCTGCCAGCTCTTTTGGGCAGCTCTTCTTCCCATGCAGCTCTCATGGACCTCCGGAGCGTTTCTTCTCAGCTGCTCTGAGCCACACTTTGGGGTTCACTTACTTCAGCTGTGATTCAAAGCTGAGTCCTTTGGGATTGTGCTGCTTCCAAGCCAAACCGCTGCGGAGTCAGCTATGGGAGACCCAGAACCAAGTGGTACGTGCTGGCATTTGGAACAACCTTTTATGTTGTTTGTAATGTAGGCTTGTGGGGCAGGAGGCACTGGATCAGCCTGTGAACCACGTAGGATACATGGCTGCTAGAAAACAGCTCTAAGTTCCTCTAACGGGGGTTTCCATGAGCAAGACTGTTCAGTTCTCTAAGTCTAAGATGAAGTTCTATGATGTGTTAGTCCTGGACACTGGCTTATGTCAGAGGGGAGGATGAAACCCCCCGTTGTGAGGGGGCAGA